TTCTCCCCACTAGACTTCCCTAAACCCCAACTGCTCCTGGTGCCCTTTAGAGCTGACGTGGTGTCTGTCCTCTTGGCACCCACAGCCTGTACTGCACCGCCTACTTACTCCCTGGCCCACCACCTCAGGACAGGGGTCAGGTGAGTTCTTTCATCTTAGTGATGTGGAGAGAGACACACACAGGGGAGCCTGCAGCATGAGGTGTCCTAGGGCATAGCCCCTGCCAGGGGGAGGCAGGCACCTGTGGGGCGGCCTGGCAGCACCACACCCCATGCCAGGCAATGTGATCGGTGCCTCTGTGTGGTCCTTGAGCAGCAACATAAAAGAGGAATTGGGTGCCGCGGACCAGCCCAGCGGCGGCGGGAGATCGAGACAGTCTCAGGGATTGAGAACGAGCGAAAGGTGGTCGAAGGAATTAGGGCGAGGGACAAGAATGACACACAGACACACTCAAGGGAGAGTGAAAATCTGAGTGCAATTTATTAACATCAACCTTCTCTTTTTATACATTTCTGTGACAATTACCTAAGATTATTTTTCACAGTTTGTGGTAAATCATACATTAGATATGCAGTGAAACATAGCAAGAATATTACATATTGTTTTTCACCTAAATTCCATTTAAGTACAATTATCGATGAATCAAGCACTTACTGTGATTTACTCAGAGGAGGTCTTTGTTATCCTAACCTTAACTTAAATATTACCTACATGATTTTTATTATGATCATGTTTTATATATTTATCATAACATTAGTTTTTAATTACCACATATTATTATTATTAGCATTTACTATAAAATCACAATGATTACTTTTTCTTAGTCATATATTTAAGCATGTTCTAAATGCAGCTAAACCAGTTTAAAGCACACAGCTGGGCAGTGCAGCACAGGGCTACTGAACTGTAAGGTAAAGATTAACGGTGTGTGTCTCCGTGTTTTCAGGCAGTGTTTGTTGGTTGCTTATGGCGCCGATGCACAGCAATCCTTTCCTGTAACATCAGAGGGGGTCTTTTCTGCTTAACATGAACGCCAAAGTTTATGATGCTGAATCCCCGCGGGGACTGCGCCTGTCTTAGGTCGTCAGGAGTCGCAGACATGCGGCTGGCCAGTGCCTTCTTTAGTCTGCCCCCGATCTTACCCGTCATTGACTGTCCAGTCCAGCGCACAGGGGAAGGGGGTCTTACGTACTCTATTTGTGAGCATCCACAGTACAGCCACTCTTTATTTCATCCAATTACTGGAGATCAATGGTGGCAACAGTGGTATTGCCAGCCATGGAGGCAGGAGCCGCCACAATTGGGCACAGTCCCTTTCAGTAAACAGCGGGGCTTCTCATAACATCCTTGTTCAACGGCGTTTTGTTATAAAGTTGCCGACCAAAAGGTCCTGCAATGTTGAGCAAAATGAGGGTCCTGGAGGACCTGCTGTCTTCAGAGCATTCCCCTTCAAGTCGCAGCTGCCAGGACCCTCATGAGGACCTAAGTGAGGACTCGATGCACTGAATCGACAACTAGACCACAGTGCCTGGAGCTTCAGGTAAATGAAGAATTTGATTGAAATTGAAGTCTTTATTAACGGCCTGTTTATATTATTGCCTGAGACAGTGAGAGCACAATTTATTCCATTATCTGGCGATGCTCTGAATTTCAAGCTTCCCTCATACTTATTCCCTAGTAACGAGCAATTTCACACATAGAGACTGATATTTTAAAAACTTTGTTAATCAGAGACAAAATGGCTTAAAAGATGAATGATCGTCCTTTCAGGGAAGTGTATTTTTAAAATAGTTTTATGAAGGTTTATTTTATACACAAGAAACTGCCCATATTTAAGGCCCACACTGTAGGCTAGAGGTGGCGCAGGGGAGGAGGGGTGTGTGTGTGTGTGTGTGTGTGTGTGTGTGTGTGTGTGTGTGAGGACTCACCAGATACAGAGCAGGGAACAAAACAGGCAGATCTACTGAAATACACTACTGAGAGGAGCAAGGGATGAGGGAGGAGAGGTCTGCTGTGTCATGGGGGTCAGCTCCCTGGCCAGGGATTGAATTTATACTGCAGTGGCTGCCAATAGCTTGTTAGTGTTGTGTTTTTAACTCCTGTGCCACCAGGGAGGCCCTGATAGATGTTCTTTCTTTGGTAGGTGATCTTTGCCTGGTCTTATGGAGTACCATTCTCAGTCAAAGACTCAAGATTTCTGGAAATATTCTCTGAGCAAATTCCAGCTGTGTAAGATTGGTTCAGATTGACCATCTTTACACCAGAAATTTCTTAGTTCACTCATTTATTCATATTTTGCCAAGTATCACTGAGCTTTCAGTCCAACATCAAGAGTTGATGACCTGGTTAGTGGGACACAGTACATAAATGAAACAGTCTGGGAAGGTGGTATTCAAAGACCAAATGAGCAATACCCCAAAATGTATATTAGAATAAAGCAAGGGGGAAAAAAAAAAAAAGGCCTCCCTGGAGGCGCAAGGGTTAAGCAGTGCACTATGACGCCATCCGCAGCCTCTGCAGCACAAGTTCAATCCCTGGCTGGCCAGGGAGAAACCACATGGCGCAGCAGACCTCTCCTGTCTCGCCTGCTGCTCCCCTCAGCAGTGTATTTCAGTCAATCTGCCTGTTCTGCTCCCCACTCTGTCTCTGGTGAGTCCTCTCACCCCCCACATCTCTGGCCTGTACCCAGCTCTTGTATGCATAAATGAATAAATCTTTAAGAAAAAAAAAGAATAAATCATAGAATGTAAGTCATCAGAAAAGCTTCACAGACACAAGACTTTTGAGCCAAGATTTGAAATATGGATAAGGTTGGATAAACAGACAAAATAGTTTCTGACACAGTTTTTAGCAAGAGCTAAACTGAAAGCCAGAATACAAAAAAATAAATAAAAAAAGGGTCTTGGGGTGCAAAGATGTTGATTTTTTTCATCATACTTTGAGATTACCTGATTATCCACAGCTTTGATTTCAACTGCTTTTTGTCCTTAAATTTTCACATTCTCTCCTTTGAATGGGATTGGTCGAGTAGATTAGAGAATATATTCCACATGTCTCTAATAGTTTTTGGGGTGATTCAGCTTCATGGAAATAACTCAGATAAACATATAGCTGAATAAACTTTTTTTTTTTTTTCTGGCCAACAGGCTTTTGTACGTTGCTGACTGTATAGAGTTTTCTACCCTGATAGGCATGATTATATATTAAGGTTCCTGTAGATTCCTGTTAACTCTGGGCAAGCTCAGGTTCTAGCATGAATTTGCTGACTACATTTTCATTTTACCCATCGGAATAAACCGTTTATCTCCTTTTGTGCTCTAATGCTCCCCTCACTCTAACGCCTGCCATGTTCCTCCCCTCTATCAGCCTTACCTTCCAAAACACATAATCATCTGCTCAAACAGAAAAAAAAAAAAAACAACAAAAACCTCCTCATTGCAAAACAAAACTCATAAAAAGCAATGTTTACACGTTTTGGACCAGTTGAATGATTTAACATTAGCTTTCCTCTGGAGGAGGGGGTTCCTCCCGACAAGATTCATTAAGGCTGAGTGTTCTCCAATGAACATTTTCCTTAAGCAGCGTGCAAGTCAACGTGAGCGTGCGCTCCGTGTAACAAAGAAGGGAGACCTCACCAGGACAGGAGGCTTTCACAACCACCAGGGAGGTCATCTCCAAACAACTGCTGGGCTCAACTGTAAGGGGTGGGGGTTGTCCCCAGGATAGGGGAAGGTTCCAGGTTCCCTGCCCCACCCAAAGGAGGGTGGATCTGAGCAGGGAGAGAAGAAGCTGCAGAGGAGACTGAGAAGGAAGGAGGCAGGATGGAGCCAGAAGGAGACCTGGAGGAGGCACATGGAGCCTAGAGACCGGTGAAGAAACTGCGCTTGCCTTGTGGTCGTGGACTGGGTGACACAGACATGGGTGAGACCCGTGGGGAGGTGACAATGGCAGCTTTTATATCGGTTTTGCTTTTGCTCTTTTCCTCCCAGACTTGTCTGGTTGTTTCTGACCCTTTTCTGTGGGTTCCCACTGGCAGGTGCTTTAGACTTGGGGCAGCTTTGGGGCCTTGCTCTGGGCCAGTCCCGCTTGGGTGGACTGTGACCCGCGAGGGGACGGGAAACTTTGGGTGCTTGATCTACTTGATCTAGAAACTAGATTCTTTGTCTCTCCTGAGTTGTCTCCTAATTGTATTAAAGTTCCTCCCCATTAAAGTCTCACATGTTTTGTGTTGACGCAGCGGGTGGCAGAACCTGTGGGCTTGCGGGGGTCTGGGCCGCCCCCGTCCCTGCCTGTAACACAAGTCCCAAGGCCCCCCCTCCACCTGCTCGGGGGTGCTGGGGGACAGGCACACAGCCTGGGGGCGCCCAGGGCAGGTCTGCGCGACTCCCGCCGGCCCCCCGACAAGCCCGCGGGCGCCCCGAGGCCCCGCGCCCAGCTCCGGGCCGCCCCCACGGCCCGGACCTCTCGCGAGCCGCCCCCGGCGCCTCCTCCCTCGGGGCGCCCCGCGGCGCTACCCGCCCCCAGGACGGCGCGGCTGCCCCGGGAGGGCGGGGGCCTCGGACGCCCCGGAGCCAGAGCCGGGCCGGGCCGGGCGCTCAGCAGGCCAGGCCCTACCCGCGCGGAGGCCCCGGCGGCCCCGCGCCTTCCCAGGTGGCCGCGCGCGCGCCCGAGGGACGCTGGGTGGGGCCGGGGGACCAGGGCTCGCGCGGCTGGGCGGTGGGCGCCGCACTCTTGTGGCGGGGCCTGGGCGTGTAGGGGCGGGGCCTGGGTGCCGGGGGCGGGGCTTGGTAGGCCGGCGACCGGGCAGGGGCGGGGCCTGGTGTCCAGGGGCGGAGCCTGGTAGGCCGGCCACCGGGCAGGGGCGGGGCCGGGGGCCGGGGGCGGGGCTTGGTAGTTCGGCGACGGGGCTGCGCACGCGCGCGGCGAGGCCGGCGGGCGGGGCGCGCGGCCGTGGCGTCACTCGCGGCGGGGCTGCGTCGCGTCCGCCGCGGCGCGGGCGGGTCCCGAGAATGGCCTCGGACATGGAGTCGTCGCTCGAGGCCAGCCTCTCGGCCAGCGGGGCAGTGGCCGGGGCCTCGGGGTCTCTGCCGCCGGCGCGCTCCCGCATCTTCAAGATCATCGTGATCGGCGACTCCAACGTGGGCAAGACGTGCCTGACGTACCGCTTCTGCGCCGGCCGCTTCCCGGACCGCACGGAGGCCACCATCGGGGTGGACTTCCGAGAGCGCGCGGTGGAGATCGACGGGGAGCGCATCAAGGTGAGCGGCCGCGGCCGTCGGGGAGGCGCCCCGGGGACGGCGCCCGAGCCCGCCGCGGGGTGCGCGCTGGCCCGGCGCAGGGGGGGCGCCCAGCGCCCCCTCGCCGACCTGCAGACCCGGAGGACGTGCGCCCAGCAGACCTCAGGGCAGCTTCCCTGACTTTCATGTGCGTGAGGGATCCCCGGGGAGCTTGTTTTGTTTCTAATGCAGGTTCCGCCCTGCTGAGGCCACAGGTAGAGCCCGCGCAGCCGGTCCGCGGACCGCACGTGGAGTAGCAGCGTGTGGGAGCGGGCGCCCCTCGCTCCTGAGGCCCGTGGCCTGGAGTCAGCGAAGAAAGAGAAGGGAAAGCAGTGACTTTCTCAAGCACAGACGGTTCATTTAATAAGCACTGTTTGGCAAACATTCATCTGAGCGCTGCTAGTAGGAATTGTGGAAATTGAGCCTTTGAGGAAGTGCTCAGGTATTCTGCAGACAGTTTGGCCCCTGTGGTTTCTGTATGACACTGTGAGTGGGGTAGAAAAATCTATTTTCTTGCAGAAACTTTCTAGACATAATAGTTTCCACTTGAGTTGCCAGGAGCACATGTCTTGGTGCCACCCTCTTCCCCTCTTCCCAGTCTTTAGTTCTTGGTGGCTCCTGAGACTGGGGACACGGGAAGAGTGGAGAAGGCAGTAGACCCACCAAGACCAGGACGGCGCTGGAGACACTGAGGAGTGAGGATCAGTGACAGGGCCGAGGCCTCCTGGTGGTGTAGCCTTACAGACGCTTCTTCAGTCCAGGTCGCCAGCAACCCTTTAGCCAGCTGCTGGTACCATCTTAAAGCAGGCATCGCTAGAATTGCCCTTTTTGTTTTTTGGCTTTCAGTTAGACTGATCATCTCTACCTGATTCCCCCACTGGGAAGGGTGGGGAGGGGGTAAGCTCAGTGCTTGCTTCCTACCTCCATATCCAAGAACAGTGTATTTGTAAGTTACCCAATCACTGCACACCCCTGTCCCTGAGTGGGTGTTACCCCGCTGCTGATGGAAAGGGTAAATAGGGTTGAAAGAAATCAGCCTCTCCAGGGCCTTTTTTGCCTTCGGCTTTCACTAGTGTCCATTGTCCTGCTCCGGGCTGCCAGGGGTGGTCCTTTGATGCATTGTTTTAGGGAGTCCAGAGAGATTTGTATACACTGAGAGGAGAAGGTAGGGAAAGAAGAGACTGAATGTACTTCATCAGAATTGGTTGGGCCCTGGTACCTGGGGGGAGAAATGAACAGAACTTGTGAGGCTGGGGAGGGAGTTGCATTTAGGAGAAGCAGTTCTGTCAGAAAGTGCGGGGGCTTTGGAGTCCGGCTGACCCCCAGCCGATTGGGCCAGCTGCCGCTGGTCTGGACCTGTGGAGGGTAGGGTGGGCCATGGGTGCTTAGTAGGGTGAGCCACTTTACCCAAGAAAGTCCCAGTTTTATATTTATTTATTTATTTTTGATATTTAAAGAGCAGGTTTATGAGAAAAGGGATAGGACAGTAAAAGACACTTGTATAGACACAAGCGTGCAGGAAGAGCTGCCCCAAAAGGGACAGGTTTGCTGAGAGAGGCCTGCATGGTTGCAGGAGGGCGAAAGTCCCAGTTTTAAAACTGGAACCTCATACTCCAGGAACCTCCTCAGGCCCAGGCGAACCGGGGCAGATGGTGACCCTAGTCCACGGGCAGGTTCCTTAATCTTTCCAAGTCTCTTTTCTCTTCCAAAAATTGGGGTGATAATGCAGCGTTAGGCTGGCGTGGGGGGCAGCTAAGAGTGTACGAGCACCTGCTGCAACAGGTTGTGTTCCTGTGGCAAGTGTTAAGGGAGGAGGTGTCGGTAAGAACATCTGTGAAGAGTTTGAACAACAAAGCTAAGGGGTCTGGGCTCCACTCTGTTCACGGGCGACGGCCTGGGAGTTCTGGAGCGCCCGGGACTCGGGCTGCCCCTTGCCGTGTCCCTGTCCCCATTCCCGCCTTAGAAGTGCCTCGGCTTCAGCTGTCACTTCTGGGGTGTAACTTCCAAACCTCTGTGCGGCCCCCTCCTGCCTCCGGCTCTGATTCCCTCCTGTCCCGACAGGGCTTTGGAGGATCCACTCCTTCGCCTCGGTTGTCTGCGGTGAGCTGTCCTCCTGGCAGAACCGCCCCTCTTGGGGCTCCGCGGGCCTCTTCGTGGCCCTGTTCTCCTCCTCACCCTGCAGACCCGCCCCGCGCCTGTCCCGTGTGCAGCTGGCTTCCTACCTGCGCCATTTCCCTTTTTCATCCTTTCCTCAAAACCCTAAGTCAGGTCTCTTGACCCCTTTCAGCTGCCGCAGCGGCTCAGCGCACCTGCCGCCCTGCGCTCAGCCTCAGCTCCTCCTCACGCTGTGGCCCGCAGCGGGTCACCAGGCGCCGGAGCAGGCTCACCCCTGCCGGGCATGCCGGGGCTCCTCAACGTGGGCCCGCCGTGGCGCTCAGGCTGCCGGTCTGACGCTCCCCAGCAAGGTCCTTCACGTCCGTCTGTCCAGCCGGCGAGGGGCTGGCCTGGCTTCCTCTTGTGTTTCCCACTTCCCCTCCCCTGGGCTGTCCCCGCATCATGCACAGCTCGGGTGTCTGCTCATCTCTTCAGCGCTCCCCACCCTCCTCCACTCTCGCTTCTTCCTGCGTGGCCCTTGGCACCTTACGGAGCCTTCCAGTGGCCGCCTCCTTTCTTCCGTTTCCGCCCCTGCTTCCAGGCCAGGGCCTGTCTGGTGATCCCGTCCCCTTGCCTGGTCCAGCTCTGCTCCCAGGCACCCAAGAAGTCAGTGTTGGGTGTGTGGATGCCGCACTGGATCCCAGAATTGAGGTGATGGGGGAGCGCACGTAGAGAGAGGGCGGTTGGCAGAGGCCACAGGCTGGGGGAGCAGGCGCTGCGTGAGCAGGAGGAGGGGCTGCTGGACAGGTCGGTGGGCGTCGGCAGAGATGAAAGTGCGTCTGGAACTCTGCATGTTGAGGGGTTCTGTAAAAAGTTTTGTTTTAGTCATTTGCTTGTGGAGACGGTATGTTCACATGGAAAATCTCAGCTGCAGGAATGTGGGCTTGGAACCAGGGGAAATAATCATGCGTAGGAAGGTGAAGTTTGGAGCCCAGGTCGAGGTCAGAGGGCCCCACGTCAGTGATGTGCCCCGGGGAAGAGCCATTTCCAGCAGCTGCTGTGAGCGCTACAGAACCACCCACCCACTGCTGCCGCCGCGCCTGGCCCCACCTCGGCACTGCCTGTGCCCTGCCTGTGCCCACTGCCTGTCTTACCAGTTCTGAATGAAGTGTTGTAGCTTCCCGAAGGCCTCATTGACATGGTGACTGCTTTTCTGGCTCAGCAGCCAAGTGTCAAGCATTATTACTTCATTCTTGTTTCCTGAAAGTCTTGATATGATTAGAAAAGAGTTTTGAGCAGGTTTGAGGGGAAAGAGGAGTTTGTTGGGTCAATAATACTGTTGACCTAAAGTGTAGTTTGTTTTTGTAAAAGAAATTCATATTTTTGATGAAATAGAAAAGTAGTAATTAAGGGGGAAATGGCCTGAAAGAGACAGCCATCATTAATATTTTGGTATCTTTCCTTGCTGTGTGCTTTTAATTAAACGATGAATATGCATTATTTGAAACATAACTCATTCTTCATTTGTGGAATGATTTTTGAATACCAGAATGACAGGCAATGTTATCAAGAGAGAAAAGAGCAGGTCCGATTTTGTTGGACAGTTTTTATACAGGTCATCCAAATATTGCCAGAACATCTTTCTAAATGCTAAAGATACCATTCGAAGTGGTTTTCTTTTTCTCTTACACACTGAGATTTAATTCACACACTGAAGGATTTACGCTTTAAAATATGCAATTCAGTGTTTTTTTGTTTTTAAAGATTTATTTTTTATTTATACAAGAGCTGGGGTACAGGCTAGAGGAGCAGGAAGGTGAGAGGATTCACCAGAGACAGAGCGGGGAGCAGAACAGGCAGACTGACGGAATACACTACTGAGGGGAGCAGCGGGCGGCAGGAGAGGTCTGCTGTGCCATGTGGGAATCTCCCTGGCCTGCCGGGAAACAAACCCGCGCTGCAGAGGCTGCGGACAGCTTCACAGCACTGTGCTCTACCTGCTGCGCCACTGGGGAGACCCCTAGTTTTTAGTATTTTACAAGACTGTGCAACCATCATCACTGCTCATCCTAGAACATTCCATCTCTCCAAAAAGAAACCCGTACCCACCAGCAGTCATGTTCCTTCCCTTCCCTCCAGTCTGTGTCTGTCTCTGTGAATTTGCCTCTACCAGACCTTTCGTGCACATAGAAGTTTGCAACGGGAGCCCTGTGTGGCTGGCTTCTTTCGCTGAGCATGAAGTTTACAAGATTCATCCATGTTGTAGCTGATAGTAGGACTTCATGCCTTTTCACGACTGAATACTGTTCCATTATGTGGATATACTTTTTTTTATGTGTTCGTCAGTTGACAGGTATTTGGGTATTTCCACCCTTGGCCATTATGAATAAGGATGCCCTGAACATCTGTTTACAAGTTTTCATGTGAACATGGGTTTCCAGTTCTCTAGGCTAGACACCTAGGAGTGAGTGGCTGAGTCGTGTGTCAAGACTTCAGTTTTTTTTCCTAATAGTATATTAGATTGAAATTCAAATAACATAAAATTAACTACTTTAAAGTGAACAATTCAGTGGCAGTTAGTGGTTCATAATATTATATCACCACCCCTTCTGTCTCGTTTCCAAATATTTCCATCCCTCCCGAGGGAAACCCCTCACTCACTTAGCGTTTCCTCCACTCCCCGGTCCCTGGCCGTGGCCGTCTGGGCTCTGTCTCTGTGGACCTGCTTGGGCTGGTTCTGTCTCGTAAGGGGACGCGTCCGTCACGTAACTGAGTATGTGACTTTGTGCCTGACCTCTCATAGCGTTTCAGAGGCGCACCCACCTCGTGGCAGTACTTCATCATTTAGGGTGAAATTATATTATGTTTAACGTTTTGAGGAACTGCAAGCTCTTCGCTAAGGTGGCTGCTCTGCCTTACACCTCCACCAGCAGTGCACAAGGGCTCGGTTTTTCTACGTCTCTGCCAACACTTACCTTTCTTGCTTTTTAAAAATTATTCCTCCCCCTCCTCATCCTAGAGTGTGTAAGGTGGTAGTGTGTTGTGCTTTTGATTTGCATTGTCTTAATAGCTAATGATTTGAGTGTCCGTTTGTGTGTTTATTGGCTACTAGGAGATTTTCTTTGAAGAAATGTCTATTCAGATCCTTCACTGGTTTTTAAAGTTAGGTTGTCTTTTTATTAGTGAGTAAGTAAATGTCCTGGAGACTAGACTCCGATCTCTATGTTATTTGCAGATATTTTCTCCCATTTTGTGAGTTGTCTTTTTACTATGTTGACCATGTTCTTTGAAGCATAAACATTTTAAGTTTTAGTGAAGTTCCGTCTTTTATTTTTTCATTGGTTGCTTGTGCTTTAAGGTATGATATCTAAGAAACATTCCCTAGTCCAAAGTCATGAAGATTCACCCTTACATTTTCTTCTAAGACTTTTTTTCATCCATTTGGTAAAACTTCTATATATGGTGTGAGATAGGGGCCAACCTTATCTCTTCCATGTTGTCCCGGGTCATTACTGAAATGAAAGTTCTTTCCTTTATAGAAGTGTCTTGGCACTTACTGTAAATCAGTTAACCACAGATACACCCATTTACTTCTGGACTCCAGTTTGTTCTGTTGATCTCCGTGTCCAGTCTTATGCCAGTACCACACAGTATTTATTACCATGGCTTTGTCATCAGGTTTGCCATCTGTAATTTGAAGCATTTTTCATTGTATGTTGAGTGTTTTTATTCTTACGTTGTTAGTTGGGGTAAAGTTCTTTGCTTTCAAAAAAAGGAAAGTTGTATTTTTAAAGAATTGTACAGTTGCTTTCTTAGTCCTTTGCTTAGTCTGTGGAACTAGTCTCGATTACTTTTTTTACTGGGTTGAAGCTAAATTTGCCTCTTACTGTTGAGGCTAAGACCCAAAGGTATTCTAAGAGTAGCCTGCCAGCACACGGTAGGCATTGCGTAACTAAGTGTTGGTTTAAAAATGGGGGGTTGCAATTGTATGGGGAATATAAAAATAAAATTTATTATTTAAAAAAAAAAAAAAAAACACACAAACAGAAAAAAAAAATAAATAGTCTTAGATGTTAGTTCTTAGTTTGCTTTGCTGACATCTGTTTCCTTCTGTCTCTGACTTAGATGATACTGAGTCTTTTCTGTACATGACCAGTAGCTTTAGGACGGCACTAGCTTCTGGGTGAGCTGAGGGGAACCAGAGGCAGCAGTCGTGTGGTGCCCCCAGTCGGCTGGGCCCAGGCAGTGCTGGACTGTGCTCTGCTGTCCTTGTGTGTGGCTTTCAAGACTTGGCGCTCAGGAGGCGACAGCTGAACCTCCAGATGTGAGCTACTGCTCCTTTGGCTGGCAGGGTAGAGAGAGAGAGGTGCAGGAGGCGCCTGTCAGGTGCTCTGCTTTCTGCAAAATTACGAATCAGTCATTTTCCCGGAAGCCTCGCCCAGAAGCCTGTTCACGGGATAGTAACTGTGTCACGTGGGCGCCCGTTGTTCCAAGGGAGCCTGAGAAATCAGGTTTGGGTGGCGTTTCATGTTTCTCCTGGGAGAAAACTAGGTTTATGTTAACTGAGAAGAAAGAAGGAATATTAAGAAAATGAAGAAATTTAGGTGAAAAAGAGCAACCAAAAACATGAAAAAATCTGAACTGATGAAGTTTGGAGAGCCTGGGAGTAGTACATTTTTTAAATGTATTTTACATTCATTACATCTTAGTTGAGAACTTAGCATATATTGCCATGTTCTGAGCACTTGTGCCTTCGATCTTACTTGTAACTTAATATTATGTCGATTATTGTATAATAGTTTCTTTTATGTCTTCAAATATCTTTCATGATCAATGTAATGATTAGACAATTTCATTTTCATGAACTATCACCATGTTTCCAAAAGTAGTTAGCACTACTCAATTCAGTTAGTTAATAAGTAGTGAGTGCCTGTTTTCCTTTTAGTCAGAATAGATCTGTAGATTTAAACTCAATTTCCTGCTGCTTCTCTATTGCTCTATGAGAAATCACCATTGTAGACTCAGAGTCTATACTGGGACTATCTACAAATAGAACAAGTCTCTCAGCTTCTAGTTTTTTCCACTGTGACCAGTTCCCTCCTTATATAAGTGGAGGAAGTAAACAAAGGTTGGATAATTCAAGATTTTAAGGGAATTATAATGTCTGACTTATATTTAGCTTTAGATATCATTTCCTCCATATTCCATTAGAAAATACTAGAATATCTTCCTTGATAGAGATGTTTAAGGTAGATAAATGGTTTTCTAGTCTTTTAAGATTTTCAGGGGGCCTGGATTTTGTGCAGTTACATGTGTCTATATGTTGGTGTAGGGCTAAACCTCCTGACTTTCAACTTCTGTCCTAAGTTTACTATTTTAAATTAGACTAGTAAGAGGTAGGAAAGGACACAGAGTAACCAAATTTATAGGAATCAGTCATAATATGTTTCTCTCTAACTTGATAGATAATTTTTTTCTTAACATTTCAAAGTCATTTTTTGAGGTATAATTTTACCCAAAGAAATTTGATTTACTGACACTAAAATGCTAAATTAGAATATTTGTCCTGACACTTGTATTTATTATGTGGTAAGTAGACTAGTGTCAGAAACTCTAGACCCTACAAATAACACTGAACGTTATGTACTCGAAGGCCATTATGGAAGGGAAGCCAGTATTATCTGTGAAGAAGTACCAAAGACCACGCAGAAGTGATTACATTCTTTTATATGTACAATTGGAATGAAATTTCCAGTTTTTTTTCTTTTTCAGATCCAATTGTGGGACACAGCGGGACAAGAACGATTCAGGAAGAGCATGGTGCAGCACTACTACAGAAATGTGCACGCTGTTGTCTTCGTGTATGACATGACCAACATGGCGAGTTTTCATAGTCTGCCATCTTGGATAGAAGAATGCAAGCAGCACTTGCTCGCCAATGATATTCCACGGATTCTTGTTGGAAATAAGTGTGACTTGAGAAGTGCCATTCAGGTACCTACAGACTTGGCACAAAAATTTGCTGACACGCACAGTATGCCTTTGTTTGAAACCTCTGCTAAAAACCCCAATGATAATGACCATGTGGAGGCCATATTTATGACCTTGGCTCATAAGCTTAAGAGCCACAAACCATTAATGCTTAGTCAACCCCCAGATAATGGAATTATCCTGAAGCCTGGACCCAAGCCTGCAATGACGTGCTGGTGCTAAATAAGTCTTCATTATATGATCTAATTTTGACTAAAAAAAAATACTTTTGAAGTATGACAATGATAAGTCATAAGATTTAATCTCATGTGTAATGGATCTTCCTGACACTTTGCTATTTATCATTGCTCACTTTTGTATTTTGTTTCTACTTAATAAAGCTTGTCACTGTGACAATACCAGGCAAAAGTTGCAGGTTGCAGGTTTGCAGGTGAGGTTGAAATTGAAGCAAAGGTAGGGTGAATTTGAACATCTTTGGGAGCTCAATAAAAGAGCCTTCAAATGAGGGTATGATGAAATTTGAGTTCAATCTGTTCCTGGGGCTGAAAAAAAAAAATAGGGTTTACTACATATTTGCTGGTATAATCTTGAATGGAAGTGTTCTCAGTAGATAAAACCTGGTATTTGCCTCCCTGGAGTTCCTTCCTTGTACTATTCGTGTACCTACATGCATTATTATGGGTACATTTTAGAGCCAGGACTTTAATTCTAGTGGGAGGAGAAGACATAGAATGTTTTCTGGTTCTCAGTCCTCAAAGAATGCCTTTTCCAACAGTTCTAGACACTTGATATCTCTAAGCATTATCAATCAGGTCTACAGAAGTCGTTGTTTTGTAAAATAGTGATTTGAATTTTTTTACTTGATTTTATTGTGTGCAAAAGTCAGTCAGATTTTATTGCAAATGAAATGATATAATAAGGTGCTTTATACTTTATTTTGATATCTTTAAACAGAGAAGACCTAACTGAGAGCAGTTGAGGAGTTATTACAGGAGGGGAAGGTAAGCAAGGTTCCGGGTCGCACAGGAGACCTATTAGCCTCTAATTATTTCAAGCTGTGTCTGGCATGGCCTCCCCCACTTCCAATCCATTTAACTAGTAAAGGCTGAGTTAACGAATCATCTTCCATTTGGATTGTAGCTCCGGGGGCATCCATCTGATTATTTGGAGTCTACATATACCTCTATAATTGTATTATGGAGGTTACAGCACATCAATTCTTAAAATTTTATGGACACAACAAGCTATTCCTCCTCTGCATGAAAAAATAGGCTAGATCTTGGAAAATACCTTGACTGCCCCTCAGTGACGGAAAGACTATTCCAAAAGATTTTTTTACCCTAAATACTTTTATTTTGAATTTCCAAGTTTGCACATGGAGAACAGTAAGCTTGCATATGAAGCTATTACACGAATGGAGTGTAAGCCATGACCTCGAACTGAAGTGTGCACGTTTGCTAATTCTGTTAGATTGCTGTCCTTGATGATTTTAGAAGAAATTAAGCCAAAAGATGATTGTAATTACACTAGTTTCAGAATATGGGAAACCAATTAAATCAGAAACCAAATCTAGTTTAGGACTTTCTTTAATTGTTATGGTGGTCCTAACTGGTTAACTGAATTATAGAAACATGATAATGCTAGTGAATGCACTAGATGAGAACAATAATAATTTTAAATATTAGATTTAAGAACAAATAAGTTGGCTTTATTCATGTATAGGGAGAGTAATTCATTTTTCTTATGCTAGACTTGAAAATGGTTTGGCCATCTAAGTTAATGTTGATTTGTGTCTTTTTTTATAGGAAAACAATGACAGCTGTAATAATTGTGATGGGTGTAGGAGTCAGAGTTTTAAAGAAGGGAATCTGTTATTGATTTTCAAAACATTTTCTAACATGGGGAGAGAAAGTTTACAGACTTTTCCAAGCACATTTATGTTTTTTCAGCATGTTATTAATGGATTAAAAAAATTTAGCATTATTTCTTTTTGTAAGACGTTAGTAGTAAGTATCCTTTATAGTTCTAGGAAACAACTTATTTTTTCACTTTAATATTTATTTAAAAATATTTGTAGCTCATTTATAATGTTTTGTTTTAATTTTTCGATGTATATTATCTTTTAAAAGAACATACTTATCAGTGAATGGGGATACACTTTTAAATACCTTCCAAAATATTTTTAAAGCATTTCATTGACTATTGAGAAATCACTTACAAAATGGTGACTATCAACCAACCAACCATTTTTAACACACAAGTCACACACTTTGTTACCTCTGTGTGAATTTGTTCTAACTGACTTTTAAGGGAAAACATCAGATAAGTTTTGGGGGAAAGTCTTAATTTGTGAACACCAAAGGAAGCTAATCCAGAATTTAATTAGTTAACTATTAATGATAATGCTGTATTGATAGCAAATTGCTGATACACTTCCTCATGAAATCAAAACTGAAGTAAAATAATTTCGTGGTGGAAAAGTGTCACTGTAACGTTTTCCTCCTGAAGTCCAATAAACCAGCTTTACCATAAATAAATTGTGTTTCATTTCCGTTTGTTGGTGCTAAGTTGTGTGTAAAATAAAACAAAATCTCTTCTCCCTGGCTTCCAAGTAATACTTAACAAGTTAGAAACACACAAAAACTCACCCGATGGAAGTGTGTTTGTAAATACATTTGGGGTTGAACCTTCACAAGGGGAAAAAAACACAGGTATTAAAATTAGTTAATACATTTTTTAATTTGTGCAACCGAGTAATCCAACTCCTTTAAGAACACCTCAGTGAAAAAGTGCCACATACTGCAGGCTTTGCAGCATGAACACTGTAAGATGTACAAGAAAGACGGGAGTAAGTGTGCACAGTGGAACACTGTGGTTTTCCACCCACACTGACTGACGGTCCTTCCAGAGGGTGAGCGCCTGCTGCCAGCGTCCTCACGGTTTCGTCACATAACACCAAAATATCTTGGAGATGAATTCTTATAGAATATATACATTTACATATTTTATATATCTAAATATAAGATGCATTTTAATATATATATAAAACAAACTGCGTCCTTCTTAGACCTCATGGAATTCCTCTAGTTGACTTCCTCTATCTAGACCACCCCCTGTGGATGAGCGTTTAGGTTTCCAGTCTTTTGCTATTACAAGCCAAAAGAGTTACCTTTTGCAAATATCATTTTGTAAGTGCGTCACTCGAACTTACACTAGACTGGGATCTGCTTGTTAAAAATATAAACGCAACACCCTAGTTAACTTCGCGAGCATCAGTTAGGGAGGTGGGAATCCGGCAAATGAATTCCAGGAAAACCTTTGCAAAGCTGGTGGGTGGAATTGAATAGAAAACTTGGCATCCGGGTTTAATAAGACTGTGGTCGATGCTTTTCTATTATTTGGACCCAAGGAACTTTGTGAGTTGTTTTAAGCTTTGAGAATCATTAAATACAAGTATCAGCATAAACTGGACATGGAAACAGACCTTTGACTTGCTTTATTGTAGAGTGTTAAATTGAGATGTCTAAAATAGTGAGGCTATTTAATTTCATCTCTTCCAGTCAAAGAGATCAGCAAAATAGGCTTGTGTGTGTGCGTGCGTGCATGCGTGAGTGTGAATAAAAACATCTTAGATCGTTAAATGAACAGAAATAAAATGATTATTTAAAAACATTGTTTTGCTTTATCCTTGAATCTACTTGGTATTATCAGTTTAGATTGTGTTTATAATTTCAGATGAGCCAGTAACCATGCCTTGGAAATGCTGGCTCACACATTTTTATTTTTTTTTTAAAGATTGATTTATTTATGCATGCAAGAGCTGGGGTACAGGCCAGAGATGCGCGGGGTGAGAGGATTCACCAGAGACAGAGTGGGGAGCAGAACAGGCAGACTGACTGAAGTACACTGCTGAGGGGAGCAGTGATCGAGTCAGGAGAGGTCTGCTGCGCCATGTGGGTTTCTCCCTGGCTGGCTGGGGATCGAACTCGTGCTGCAGAGGCTGCGGATTGCTTCATAATGCGGTGCTTAACCCCTTGCGCCACCTGGGAGGCCCACACATATCTTTTTTAAAGATTTATTTATGCATACAGGAACTGGGGTATATATAGGCCAGAGGGACCGGGGTTGAGTGAGTGAGGATTCATCAGAGACAGAGTGGGGAGCAGAACAGGCAGACTGACTGAAATACACTGATGAGGGGAGCAATGGGTGAAGCAGGAGAGGTCTGCAGCGCCATGTGGGTAGCTCCCTGGCAGGGAACTCAAGCTCTAGTGGCTGCAGATAGCTTGATAGTGCGAGACTTAAACCGCTGCGCCACCAGGGAGGAAGTGGCTAACACGCTTTTTCTGATAAGGTCTAATGAGGCTGAAGACTAGTGATGGGTACGCTCAGGCACGGTCTGAACCGGCCCAGCAGATGTCCTGGCTTCGCGGCTAGGGGCCTGGTTAGTGAGCAGGAGCAGGCAGAGACAGGAGCTGCTGCAGCCTGAGGGTCTGTACTGAGCCCCTTGGCCTGGCCCCCTCCTCTGGGGTGTGCCCTGGTGTGGAGCAGGAGGCACCAGAGCCATTAGCCCTGCCTCCTTCCAGTGGCCTTGGTTCTGTGTAACAGAATTTGAGTAGCAGCTGTTGCCTATGCAATCACCCTCCTTACCATTTGAAAATCTCATATCCTTTAAGCCATTCCTCTTGATTCCTGAGCAATTCGGCTCCAAGGGCTTTCAAGAGAAAAAGATTCCTGGTGGTTGAGTCATGCTTGGTGGAAATGAGCAATTCCTGCCCAGCACGGTGCATAGCAATATTGCATTAAGACTGCCGAGAAGACACGCCTTCCGGGAGTTTTGCTCCATGAAAGGACGGATGTAGCCACTGCTTTTCACTGCTTTGCTGAGCTTAACAAAGTGCAGCAGCATTTCTTAGTTTCAGAAAAGATAATGAAATTAAAAGACTGCATTCCTCATCTTTTTCTTGCACTGAGGCAGGCGAGGTCCAGGTCTGCCAGCTGAATCTCGGCAAGAAGTCCCTCTGCGCACCCTGTCACAACTCTCAGCCTCAGTTTCCCCAATTGCAAAATGGGGTCCATAATAGTACCCTCCCCTCCCACTTTTATGCCTGAAGACTGTTATCGTTAGATTGCTCTCTGCCGGTGAAATCCTGAGACATGGGTAGGACTACATTCTTCGGCAGCTGACCCGGAAGTGGCTAATACAAGCTCCTCTGATTTCTTCTGTGTGTTGCCTTACGCATCTGTCAGCCCCAGATGCCCTGTACAGCCGGCCTCTTTTGGGGCTGCGTTTGGATTAGGTACCTCGAATTTCAGATCTCTTCCACAGCAGAAACAAGCAAGCAGAAACCTACTGACCCTTCCAAAACACATGCCCCCCATGCTGAGGCTCTGGCCTGACTTCATGCCACGTCAGAGGCCAATTCCCGCAGAGATCACCCATCTCTGCTGACAGGAAGCTGCCGAGAAGTGGCTTTTCTCTCTCACACTTTCTTCCCCGCGGAGCCTCGGGACTTCTGGCTTCAGCCCAGTTTTTGGAGCATGGACAGCAGCAGCTGTGTCAGGAGGAGCCCCTGCAGGAAGCCGTTTCTATTTTGGGTGCCCCTCCAGGGACCCTCACCCGTCTCCTGCCCTCCTCCCAGGCCCTGCAGGCGTCTTTCACTCGAGGCAGCTTCTGCACCCGGCCTGGAACCCAGGAGCTTTCTGAAGGCCTTTAAGTTTTTGAGCAAAAAAAGGATTGACCCCAAAATATGAAAATAAAATTAAGAAAGTTAATTAAATGCCTACAAATGAAAAATTACACATATTATTACTTGATAAAATGTTAATGCTCAGGAAAATGGTAATTATATTTGAAAACAATTATGTTAGGTTATTTCCCTTCAAAAGGACCCTGTCCCCAGCTTGGTTGTGAATTAAATTCTCTACTTGTAGCGAAAACATTCAAAAATCTTTTTCAGAAAAACACGACTCCGGGGGCAGTTGAGCATATTTGCTACGCTGTGGAGCGAGACTCCCAGAGAAGAGCCGGGGCCTGTGAGCGCAGCTGCGCGTGGATGGCGGCAGGGGACGGCTGTTGATTCAGTAGTCGTGGCAGCGGCGTTGAGGCTAAGTGGGAGAATTGGGTGGGGTGCACGTGGAAGTATTTAGGGATGAAGTGTCCAGATGTCAGCAGCCCGCTTTCAAAATGTTCTGCAAAACAGCCGTATGCGGGGGTGTGGAGGAGAGCCGGTCTCCTTGCTCTGCTTATGGTGTCCTCACGACACACCGCGCTGGGTGTGTGCCACGGTCTCTGTACCTTTGTGGCCAGCATCATATACATTGTCCCCCCTTATTCACGGGGCATAATTTCCTGGACCCCAGTATCGGTCTGAAACTGAGGATATTACCAAATCCTACATATTCTGTACACATACATATAATATTTAGTTTTTAAATTAGGGACAATGACAGGTTGGCAACAATCACTCATATTTTATGGTTTTCTTCTTTTTTTAAAGAGTTATTTATTTATTTATACAAGCACTGGGTACAGTCAGAAGCGTGGAGGAGGGGGGTGAGAGAATTCACCAGAGCCAGAGCGGGGAACAGAACAGACTGATGAAACACACTGCTGAGGGGAGCAGCGGGAGGCAGGAGAGGTCTGCGCGCCATGTGGGACCCTCGCTGGCGTCCAGGGATTGAACCGGCGCTGCAGAGGCTGCGGGCAGCTTTGCAGCCCAGTGTTCTACCGCTGCGCCACCAGGGGAGGCCCTTCTTTTTTTTAAGATTTATTTATTTATGCATACAAGAACTGGGGTGTAGGCCAGAGGTGTGTGTGTGTGTGGGGGGGGTGAGAGGATTCACCAGAGACAGAGTGGGGAGCAGAACAGGTGGATTGACTGAAATCCACTGCTGAGGGAGCAGCCGGGAGACAGGAGCGGTCTGCTGCGCCATGTGGGTCTCCTTCCTGGCCTGGAATTGAATTCGTGCTGCAGTAGCCAGGATAGCTTCATAGCGCTGAGAGTTTAACCCCTGCACCATCTGGGAGGCCCCTATTGTTTCCTTCTTAAAGGACTTGGTTTTATTTATTTTTAAGAACTTTATGTTCCACTTTAAAGCCACAGACTTTCATTTTTTAATTGCTTGTTACCCGTGTATGGAAATACAACTGGTTTTTGTATAGTATTGATTTTATCTAGGAAGGAAGTGAAACATTAATTCTAATTATTTACATACCGTCTTGTTTTGCGTGGTCTGTGTAATCATCTCATCTGCAGATAGAACAACTTTTGTTCCAATTCCTGTACATCTTTTACATTTATTTTATTTCACTGCAGCGTGGCAAATTATCCAACATAATATTAAACAGGAACGGTCGTCACAGCTGAATAGATCTTATTCCTGACCTTAACACGATTTTGGCATTTAATTATTAAATAGGAGATGTGCTGTGCTGTAGATTTTTCATAGATATCTTTTCTGTGGTGTTTCCCACCTCCAAGCAATTCTCCAGTTCTCAGTGGACACTAACGGGGCGCCCAATAAATAGAACTCAGTTCTCACGCTGCCTGGAGATGTGTTG